ATATTCTTTTTTTTTTTTGGTACCAGGGATTGAACTCGGGACCTTGCGCTTGCGAGGCAGGCAGAGGAACCACTGAGCTAAATCCCTGGCCCAATCATAAATATTCTTGTTCCACATCTAAGGATCCTTTTAGTATTCCCTGTTTATATACCATTTCTATTTTTCTCCCTACCAGAAAACCTTTTTCCTCAAACTCAAAGTCTGGGGCCTGGGATTTAGCTCAGTGGTTTCACCGCCCGCTGCGCAAGCACAAGGACCCGAGTTTGATCCCCGGTACCAAAAAAAAACCTCAAAGTTTTAAGTATTTTTTCTTCTCTATATCTAACATTTAAGGTAAAAGTAAATTAAGAAATGTAAAACTTTGATAACAGCTAAAATTGTTAACATATTTAACACAGTAAAGATTATCAACACACTTCACACTGTAAGAATCAGCTAAGTACTGGGGCTTTGAAATGACATGAAATTTTGTACGTAAAGATCTTATTTTATGTATACATTAACAACCTAAAAATAACATCTCTTTACACACCATCCCTACTATGGATGAAGAATTAAACTCAATTATAACCAGGAAAAGTGTCTCCAAAATTCACACACAGAAAAACAGCCAGAATAGGAATTACTCTGAGTATCAACAGGTAGATGGGGCCAAGGCCACAGAAGCGCACACACACAAAAATATCTCACAGTGTCTTCCTGAGTCTATCATATTCCTATCAAGCCTAAAAGGAACCTCATAAACCTAACCCTGACCATTCTAATGTTGTTTGCATTAGTTTACTGAGAATACAAAACACAGGAAGTATTGACAGTTAAAGCATCCTTTTCATATCGTAGAGGGTTTTCTATTTACATGACGGGGGCCAACTATACCCAACCTGAATGGTTCTCAGAACTAGGGTTCACCAAGCTTCTTTGACAGAGACTCAACATCAGCGTCAAATTGGAACACATACCTCTTACATATTAATGTTTTAAATGACTTCAATTCCCAGTATCACAAAAAAATTATATATTCCTGCAGTGATTAAAAGATGCACTCTATTTCCACTCCCACCTCCAAAGTATGTCCACCCAGAATACGTGATTTTTCTTCAAGAATTAGTCTTTGCAGTGGTGTCACAGGCCTGTAATCCCAGCATTGTGGAGGCTGAGGCAAGAAGATCACCACAAGTTTGAGGCCAAGATGGGTGGGCTACACTGTGAGTTCAAGGCCAGCAGGAACTACCCAGTGAAACCCTGTCTCAAAGAAAGTAATTAAGCGGACCCGGGATTTAGCTCAGTGGTTCCAGCGCCTGCTATGCAAGAGCAAGGTCCCAAGTTCGATCCCCAGTACCAAAAAAAAAAAAAAAGTAATTAAGCTAAGGAGTTCTAGAGGAGATAATCCTGGATGGATAAGCCCTAACCAGAATGACATTTGTCTTTAATAACAGAGAAAGGGGCCGGCGATTTACCTCAGTGGCACCACGCCTGCCTCACAAGCGCAAGGTCCTGAGTTCTATCCCCAATACAAGAAAAAGAAAAACAGGGTATACAACAATAAGTCAATTAAATTACAAAGACAGACTTTATTCAAATGTTTCACAGTAAGTGCTACAGCTGCCTTTCTTTTGGGAAAAAGTAATTTTAAAAATCAAAGTCTGACAAGCTTACTTATATTACTATTCTGCCAAAATTTCACTCATTAGAGTAGGCAACTTGTCTTCATACCATATTACCGATGGGTGCAGGCTTCCTACAATTGCTGTAATTATGAATAACAAGAAGACCTTAACATTTTTCAACTCACTGTCCTTTCTACTGCAGATCCTCAAAATTCAGCTATAAGCTACATCTCTTCCTTTCAAAAGTGACTGAAATCATATAACCTTTACTCTGGGCTTCTATCAAGAAATGGAAGCAGAAAAGAGGTTAGTGTATAACCAAGGATTAAGCGTTGCAAGTTTACAAGGAAATGTTTTAAATGACTTGCTATGAAATGGGAAAAATAATGATCAACTCAAAGGTGGAAGACTCCTTACCCAAACTGCAGGCGTTTCTAGCTTCTGCACACAGAATAATAGTCTTTACAGAATACTCAGGCTTAAGAGAGAGATACCCACATTTCCAAACAAATGTTACAAAAATTGTGATTTGGGGGATGGAAAATACAGAACATTATTAAAGGAAGAGAAGGGGAAAGTTTGAAAAGATAGCAAATGGGAATTCTTATAGAAATAGAGAAAATATAATAAAATATAATAAAGTTAATCCCCTCTCTCTTTAAGACTAATACCCTCATAAAAAGAGAATCTAGATGGGCTGGGGATTTAGTTCAGTGACACTGCACCTGCCTCACAAGCGAAAGGTCCTGAGTTCGATCCCCATATCAAAAAAAAAAGAAAGAGAGAGACAGAGAAGAGCATTTTAAATACATTCTACAACAAACTGAAATGTTGAAATGAATCTCTTCCTGGTGCTCAACTAGAATAGTTCCTCTAAATATCCTAGAGATGCTCGCGTAGGAAATCTTGGATGATAAAAGTCTTCAGGTCAAAGGAACGTTCCCTTTTTTTGGAGACAGGGTCTCACTTTGCAGTTCAGGCTGGCTGTGAACTCACTTTGTAGCCCAGGCCGGGCTCAAACTGGTGGCACTCCACCTGCCTGAGGCCCCAGTGTGAAGATTACAGGAGAGTGCTGGAATTACAGTTGTGGGCCACAATGCCTAGCATGTCAAAGGAGCTTTAAGAATAAGAAACGGGGGCCAGGGAATTTAGCTCAGTGGTTCTGCTGCCTGCCTCAACAGTGCAAGGTCCCAAGTTTGATCCCGGGTACAAAAAAAAAAGAATAAGAAACGAGCATTCCATGCATTTGTGACAAAATCATTTTAAGTAATTTCAGTTTTTAAAAGTAACAGAGGGCCCACCAGGGTTCAAGAAAAGGATGTGAAAACAATGAAAGTAAAAATCATACCTTCTCATTTCAAAGAGTAGAATTTTGATTGAGTTGTGAGCAAGCCTTTAGCAAATCCAGCCAAGTTGGCTCCTCTTCTACATATATAAAAATGTCTAGGGCTGGGGATTTAGCTCAGTGGTTTTGCTGCCTGCTCACAAGCACAAGGACCCGAGTTCGATCCCCAGCACAAAAAAAAAAAATTTTTTTCTTCAATGTCCGACATAGGTATTTCTCATTCTAACAATATTACCAGTAGGTAACACTATTATTTGGTATACAATTTGCTAGCAACTAATGTGTCAGTTGATGGTGGTCATTGGGGGCAGGGAGATGCATTCACCATTTAGCAGAGTATTTCATCAAAGGCAAAATAACTCTGAACCCTTTTCTTGACTAGGCTTTAAATTGAACATTTAAAAACTAAAGACACTCAACAAATGATTTCATTCACTCTCCTCCACATACATAAGAAAATTTCTGACAGCTAAAGGCCACATCCCTGGATGACCCTTGCCCTCCTTGACCTGGTTGCCACTTTAAGCTCAAGGCTGCCAAATAAATAATAAGTAAATAATAATTTACTATTGATTCTAGCCAACACTTACTTCAGACAGCTCCTAATTATCTTAGACCATTTACTAAAAAGAGATTACAACTGTGAATTCTTCCTCTGTCCCAGAGTGAGAGAAGGGGACTTGAGAGCCATTCCTTAAATGTAATCAAGAAAGACAGGATCTGCAGGAAAATAGAATCCTAAACTTTAGTAACTGCCAGCTAACAGACACAATTGGTGTGATCAGATTACTTTTGGTATGATCAGAATATTCCACCAGCTCTAATGTTTCCACTTCTCCGACTGTACGGGGCCTCTGTTCATCCACTCCCAACTCCTTTAGCTCCCTTTAGAAGGCCCAGCACACCTCTGAGCAAACTAAACTACTAGACTCTCTACTGCAACAGTGAACTACTGATTAAAATCTGTCCTTACCATGTTAAATAGTGTTCAGCTTTACCTTTGACAAAATGAATATAAACTATCCTAATTAGTAAAGATTTAGCTTTATAAAATAGAAGATAAAAGTTTTTGAGGAGGAGAAGGGGGGAGGAGGAGCAGGAAGAGGAAGAGTAACAGCAGCAGCAGCAGCTTTCTGGGCTAGAAAAGACCTTTGGTGAACATCAAGCTCCAGTCTTGCACTGCACAAATGATGAATCTAAGAGACTAAGTGACCTGAGACTCAAAGTGACTGCAAAGAAGGATATGATTAAAAAGAGTTGACTCAATGTGATTCTCTGCCTGACATCAATGACAATACTCTCCCTGTTGTATTTGCACCAGTAGCACAACATTCACCATCAATCATGCAAGTCAAAATCTGAGAGAAATTCTAAAACTCATTTTTGTAATTTCATCATATACCAACAACAATAAACCAAGGAAAGTTTGTGTGGTGCAAGTACACATGAAATTCCATTTCTCTAAGGGGTGACTACTGTATTTTAATAGCCCTAGGCAAATGTATGTAGCACCTTGGTAAGGAGAAACTAGTTTCACTGACAAGCTAAGAAAACAAAATCCCATGCATAGATCAGGAGAGTCAAATACTTTCGAGTCTTAAAAAAAAAACCACAAGAAGAAAAATTAAAATATTTTTAAACCCTTTTCTGCACTTACCAGCAAAGCATTTGGAACAGAGATTCATAGTCTTGCTGGACCTGGGACAAAAAAAAGAAAAGAAAGAAAAAAGAGCTAAAAATTCCGTATCACTCGAATCAAAACATAAAATTTTTAAATCTAGGCAAAGAATTTCCTAGCCGACAAAGGAACTAATAAACTAGTTAACAAGTCTCTGGCTAGCTGTCTACCCCACCCCCAAAAAACAACAAAAATAACATACAACACTTTTGTTGTTTTCTCAATGCTAGAGATTGAGCCCAGAGCCTCACATACGCTAGGCAAGTATTGTATCACTGAGCTACATCCTAAGTCTAAGTTGCTTTAAGATATACTTTTTTAAAAAATTACCTATGAGTTAACCAATGGTTTACTCTATTTATTGTGATTAACACCTCAGGTAGCAGTAAGTTCAGAAACACTGTAACATGACCAGAAGTTGCCACAGGAGTTAATTTATCCCACATGACTATCACATTCTCATTTACACTGCAATGTATGCCATAAAGTTATCCAAAACAACAAAAATTTTGTCTGTAAAGGGATAAAATTTTCTATACATACTTATTTGATCTGCATTATCACCACTTAAAACTTTTACTTCATCTCTCCTCTCACTGAAGTCCTGTTTCAGATCCTGCTCACATTATGACCTTGTCATTTAAAATTCTTTTAGACGTTCCCAAATTATTTTCCATGTCCTTTCATCTGTTAATGATAGCTACCATTCACCGAATACTAAGTTGGATGGGCATTTAACATACATTATCTTATTAATCTTCCCAAGATCCCTAAAATTGGTATTACTGTATTACCTTCCTTCTAAACTAAAATCACATTACCACTTCTGTAACTGGAAAATACCTTACAAATGGCCACAAGTGATGAATAATTTAATTAAGGAAAAGTTCCCCCATCTCTTCCAAGGTGTTACTAAGTTGAAGGTCTCAGAATGAAGGAAATCTCATCCCCATTTGACAGGTGAGCAGTGTGCCCAAGGTTATACAGCTGAAGGGCTGCAGAGGAGTATCTGACCTGGGCTCTAAGCAAAGCCAGAGGCCATCCTGCCATTGTGTTCACAACATGGCAGCCCAGGGACTAGAAAGCAGGCAGTCAATGAAGACCTGCCTGTCAGGTTCATCCTCCTTTTTCTTTCCCTCATCTTCTATCATGCAGCATAACTCCTTCCAAAACCCCTAGAATACTCCTGTTGGAAAGCAGGCATATCTGTAGCTTCACTACTCAGCAATTTCTCCCAGTGTCTGTGTTTTTGACCAAAGCTGCCATTACAAATAGAAAAACAACAGCTTTCTTCTTCTTTTATTAAAACTTACAATTACAGAAAGCCTCCCTTGGGAAGTATTTCTTGATGGCTATGATTATTTTCCAACATGCTAGAGTCCAAGGCCTACCAGTAACTGTCATGGAGTGCCAAGGTAGCGGGAGGGGGATCTACTTCTCTTTCTCAAAGGAGCTGCTGTGTCAACAAGTGAATATTCCTTCAGAATTCCAATGAATTCCTTCAGAATTACAATGAACACATTAAGGGCAATGAAGAAAATCAAATAACAAATGAATAAAAATGAGTAAACAAAGAGATGTGTTAATATTTGCAAATAACACTACATGTCTGCTGGGTGGAAGGCATAATACCAGCTGCCTTCAACCTTGTAACAATGAGGAAACAGAGATCCCAACTGGGCACCAACCTGCCAAACTTGTCAAAGATTACAGAAATAGAAAATGAACGAATCTGATGTAAGCTAAAGTCTGTTCTTTTCACTATGCTAAACAAAGGACTCTGCCCCAATACAGAAGCTGAGGGGCACACAACAATTCCGAGTTGGCACACTGGTAGTCTGTGAGAATGGTCTCAGGACTAAAGATCTGGGCTATAGGGCTAGGGATTTAGCTCAGTGGTTCCACTGCCTGCCTTGCAAGTGCAAGGTCCTGAGTAAGATCCCCCGGTACCAAAAAAAACCAACAAAAAACATCTGGGCTATAATAAAGTCAGCTCCCAAAGAAAGTAAAGCCTCTCACCTGGTACTACACCACACACACACACACACACACACACACACACACACACACACACCTTTCCTCTACACTCACACATACTCCTAGACTCCCAGTTATTTCAGTTCCAACTCCACGATGAATTCAGGTTGACCGAATTCCTCTGATAGCTAGAATCCCCAGCAGACCAGCAGGTTCCTTCCTGGTGGGTACACCCTTGTCCATGTAGGATTCTCAAACCCAGAGGTGAACACAGTACCTCACCTCCGCTTCTCACCCCCATCCAGTAGGAATCATGAAAAGCCTAAAGGGAACAGAGCAGCTCAATTCCATGTCCATATTAACATCTGTTATTTCACAAAGCTGGTAAGAAAAAATCTAGAGGTTAAAGCACATTTTTTGGAATCTCCTGGGTCTCTACTCATATAGTGTTTGTATTTAAAACACCCATTATACCTATATATTACTAAATGATATCCATTCCATATTGTGAGTAGAAATTTTTCGGCAACATACTTATCAATATGGTTATCAAAGAAATAATGCACTGTAACTGATATATTAATCAAAACACATGTTTTAAATCTGAAATAAGCCAGATTTTTGGCTATAGAAATAATGGCCCCTGCTAAACAATGGCTACTTGGACCACAAGGGCCAACAACATTGAAAGCAAAGGAACTGGCAGATTTTTGTGAACTTCGCTCCTTTCTCATGCTGAGCATGTGAAACTGATACCTACATACAAGCAGTCTGATCAACCTGCAGAGTCCTGGGACAGATGACAGTGTTGTCTGTGTGTGCAGCACGCCCGAAAAAAGGTGATTCTGAACTTCTAGGTTCCAAAACTTTGACAAAATCAACATCTATTATTTTAAGCCACCAACCTAGCAGCAATCCGTAGTAATACACAGGGGTTATGTCTCTGATCTCATCTTATCTTCTCATCACCACTCAGCCAGACCTACCCTTCTCTCTGAAACACCCTCTTTCCTCCTACCTTCCCCTCTCCCTGATTTTCCTCCCAACTAACTGCTCCTTCTCAATAACCTTTACCACGTTCTTCTCCACTGCTAAGACCTTTATAAGGAGGTCCCTGGACTCAATCCTCATTACCTCTACTTCTAAGCAATCTCATGCAGTCCTACCACCTTAAACACTGTAGCAATGCACTAGTGACCTACAAATGTTTACCTTCCATCCCAAACCTCTTCACCTTGTTCCTAACTGCCTATTTGACATTTCAACCCTCAGTCTAAACACAGTATCACAGAATTCCAACATCAGAATGCTCTATCACCCTTTCCCACATCATCTGAAATATCTTGCCCATATTTATAAATGGAAACACCTTCCCAGGTGTTCAAATCAAAACCCTAGAAGACATCTTTTGATTTTCCTTTCCCACAGTTTCCTGTATACAACACTCAGCAAGATCAACTGGCTCTACTTGCAAATGTACCTCAAATCTATGAACTGTACCTCTCTCCTTCCTCAATGTTTCTATTCTGGCCACCACTACCTCTCAGCTGGGGCATTATAAATGACTTTTTACTCATCTCCCCATTTCCATTCCTGATACCTTACAGTGATTTTCCATATAGTAGCCAAAGTAACCTTTTAAAAACAACTCAGAACATGCAATTTTCTTCTTTAATGCCATCCAACAATTTCCTTCTGGAATAACATAAGACTGATGGGAGTCAATGAACAGGAGAGTCCAGATAACATAAAATAACTGTTCACAGAAGTAAAGGCAGAAAACTTCCCAAGCAGGAGAAAAGAACTTGACATACAGATAAAGTGACGCATATAGGACTCCAACTAGCCTTGATCAAAAAAAAAATCTACAGATAGGCATACAATTGTTAAGATTCCTGAAACCCAACAGAAGAACAAAGTTCTACGAGCAGTTAGAGAAAAGAAACAAATCACATACAAAGGGAAGCCCATCAGAATCACAGCAGACTTCTCAACGCAAACCCTCAAGGC